TTAAGTTAAAACAAATTGATTCATATAGTTTTTTAATGTTCATGCTTATAAAAAATGTTGAGAAGCCCAAATTGCCCGAACTAGTTTGGGCTTTGAGAAAACAGTTTGGACCAAAAACCTTAGACAAAATTAGGAGTGAATTTTATCAAGGTCTTCAGGATGCAATTTTACATGGTGACAATAATCCAGAACATGTAGGTCACAGAATAGTACTTCCTGCTACATTCATTGGGAGCCCTCAAGACACGATACAATGATACCAAGATGCAATGACCTTGCTACACATTGGCAAACCTGATTTATTCATAACCATGACATGCAATCCAAATTGGCCTGAAATTCAAGCTCTGTTACTCCCTGGACAAATGGCTCAAGACCGACCAGATATCACAGGTAATTATTAAATTATTTTATAGGCGCATCAGGAAAATGTGTTTTTTTTGATACACATATTATATGTATATTATACATGTATTATTTTACATTACAGGTGATCCGCATATAATATACATATAATATGTGTATCAAAAAACACATTTTCCTGATGCCTATATATATATATTTAGATAAGTCTATCTGTTACTAATACAACCAACTCATCACATTAATTTCAATCTATTATCAATAGTACATATCTTTCATGAGAAGCTTCAAGAATTAAAGAAGGATGTTTTTGAGCACAGAGTCCTTGGACATGTTGTTGCACACACATGTCATTGAATTCCAGAAATGAGGTCTTCCACATGCACACATTTTGATTATACTTCATCCAGAGGATAAAACACAAACTCCAGATGATTATGATGATATTGTCTGTGCTGAGATACCTGACCCAGTAACCAACCCCAGAGCAAATGCCACAGTTATTGCCAATATGTTCCATGAACCATGTGAAAGTATCAATCCCAATGCACCCTGCATGATTGATGATGGTACAGGGCACAAAAAATGCACCAAGGGATACCCAAGACAATTCCAGAATGAAACTCTCCAAGGAGAAGACTTTTATCCTGTATATCATTGCCGACAAGATAATCGCTACATTGAAGTAAAGATGGGAAATTGAACAGTCCTGCTGGATAATCGATGGATTGTCCCATACAACAAATTCCTCTGTACAAAATACAATTGCCACATCAATGTGGAGATTTGTGCCAGTATCAAAGCAATCAAATATTTATTCAAGTATGTCTATAAGGGCCATGACAAAGCAACAATTGAAATCACTGGAGAACATCAGGATCATGAAACAGTAGCTAAGCCAATTGTGATTGATGAGATTCATAATTTCATTGAAGCCCATTGGGTATCAGCCCCAGAAGCAATCTGGAGAATCCTAGGATTTAACACGAGTGGAATAAATCCTGCTGTCATATGATTACAAATACACCTTCCCAACCAACAAAGGGTCATATTCAATGAAAGTGACAATCTGATAGATGTAGTCACAGCTGACCAGAACCAAATAACATCACTTACTGAGTACTTTAAGATGAATGATCAAGATCCTGATGCAAGAAACCTGCTCTATACCAATTTTCCACTACATTACACATGGAATAAAACAAACAAGACATGGAAGAAACGTCAATGTGGAGGTTGCATTGGGAGAATGTACATGGTACATCCATGTGAAGGTGAACGATACTACCTTCATTTACTGTTAACAAAAGTAACAGGTGCCAGAAGCTTTGAGGAACTCAAAATAGTAGATGATACTCTGTGTGCTGCTCTCAAGGAGAGTGCTCAGTGCAGAGGTTTCTTAGAAAATGATAATGAACACCAACAATGCTAGAATATTTCAAATGCCAAGTCAGCTATGTGATCTCTTTGCAACACTATTGGTCTTTGGAGATGTTACAGATATACACCAATTATGGATGAGAACTTCAATGCAATGGCAGAAGACTTTGCATACAATGGAATACCAGAAGGTCAATCCCAAATTCAAGCAGCTCTTCGAAGCTTGAATGCTTTTCTGCAAAGACATTCAAAAATCATAGCTGACTACAATCTACCAGAATTATTTTTAGAAAACAATGTTTGGGAATTGCCAAAAATACTTCTGGAAGAATTATCCTATCATGTTACTACAGAAGATCTTACAAAAGCAGATACATTAAATGAAGCTCAGCATGCAATATTTGATGAGGTGTTAAACCTTATAAACCAAGGTGAAGGAGGTGTACTGTTTGTGGATGGTCCTGCTGGAAGTGGAAAAACCTATCTTTATGATTGTCTTCTTGCCCATGTAAGAACCAATCGTAAGATTGCATTGGTAGTAGCCTCTTCCAGCATTGCTGCATTACTATTACATGGCAGATGCACTGTACATTCTCGATTCAAAATACCAATTGCCACAATGGATAAAAATGCAACCTGTAACATCAAAAAAGGGACTGACTTAGCCAGATTGCTACAAGAAACTACCCTGATCATCTGGGATGAAGCCCTAATGACACATCATCATGTTCCTGAAGCTGTTGACAGAACATTAAGAAACATTATGGAGAATGAACTTCCATTTGGTGGTAAAATATTTTGTTTGGAGGTGACTTTCGACAAGTTCTGCCTGTAGTTCATAAAGGCACAAGAACTCAAATTGTTAATGCTGCTCTCAACAAGTCTCATTTATGGCCCCATGCACATGTCTTCTCATTGACCATTAACATGTGAGTTGCCCAAACTACAGATTATGAAGCAAAAAAATTTGCAGAATACCTTTTGAGGATAGGTAATGGTACTGAACCTACAATAGGAAACAACCTAATTCAACTTCCTGATAAGATGATCATTCACCCACAGAATGGAAAGGATCCCATTGATTTGTTATTAGACACCATTTACCCTAACCTCACTGAAAATTCTGCAAACATCACCTTTTTAACAACAGAAAGAGCAATACTGACCCCATTGAACAATGATGTTGATGTGATCAATGAGAGAATCATGGCCAAATATCCTGGAGAGCAATGTATATATTATAGCTTCGACTCAGTGCCAGAAGATGACCAGAATCTATATCCAATTGAATATCTCAATTCAATAACACCACAAGGTCTTCCTCCACATGAGCTCACTCTAAAAATCAATGTTCCAATCATGTTACTTAGAAACCTAGGTCCTGTCTAAGGTTTCTGGTCCAAACTGTTTTCTCAAAGCCCAAACTAGTTTGGGCAATTTGGGCTTCTCAACATTTTCTA